ATTTGAATTTGGCATTATCAAACGATTTTCCATTATCTTTATTGTAGACCAAGGTAACCCAAATCAACATTTAACTTGGATTTCTACGTGTTAGCCAGTGTTTTAGCTTTTAACCACTTAGTAACATAAATAATCTGAGTATATCCATTCCCTATTGCATAAAAGGCTATGAACTTGTTATTAGAGTCAACTTGGTTAAGGGTAAATGTTGAATATAAGCAAACCTTTAAAATTTTTTGCATTCCTGATTATGTTGGTTGCATCTTTCCTAATGATCAACCAATAATATCCTTGTCTTAGTATTTTATAAGCTAAAAGACTAGGTTTGATGTGGCTTCCACAAATTCCTTCATGAATTTCTATGAAAATGTAGTTTGCCTCTTCTTCATCCATACACCTTAAACATAGCAAATTGAATGATCTTCTATATAGCTTTTCATTGATGAAAACATACCGAGGTGCTTTTCTAATTAACACCTTTGCTTGGATTTTATCTTCAAGCAACCTTCTCGATGTTAGATATGTCTAGATTATAGTCATTATGATTTTTTTCCTCTTCAATTTGTTTGACCTGTTTTTCATTTGTGCTTTTCTTAAATAAATCTTTAATTAGCATATTGATCAAGCTATCTAACATGATCTCATATACCAATTTGGATAATGAGTCACTATGATTCCTTCTCCTCCTCAATTTGTCTAACCTATTTTTCATTTGTGTTTTTCTCAAATAAATCTTTAATTAGCATATTGGTCAAGCTATCTAACATGATCTTATATGCCAATTTGAATAAGGAGTCAACTAAATTATTTTTTAACCTTGGGACCTTCTTTATTCGACCTTTTGAAACATGGGCAAAAGGTTCCTTACTTTCTCTAAATATTTCCTCATTCCTTTTTCCCTAGTCCTAAACTTTTCATTCACTTGTCCTACCATCAATTATGAATCACTATATATGAGAAAATTCTCTACATTTAGGTCGATAGCTACTTTTAAGCTAGCAATCAGTGCTTCATATTCTATTTCATTGTTTGAATATTTGAATCAAAACTTCAAGGCAAATTATAGTTGTACATTTTAAAGGTTGACCAAGATCAACCTAGCTCTAGTTTTTCATTTGTAGCCAACCCGCCTACATATAGTTTTCAACCCTTCATTTGTTTAGTCATAGGTTAAGGTAGATTCTTTAACAGGTTCGTTCGAGGTGCATTCAACAACAAAGTTTGTCAACACTTGTGATTAATTTGAGTGCTGACCTTGGTAGTATATATAGGTCAAACTCACTAAGTTCTACCATCCATTTGATCAATCATCCTAAGAGCTCAGGTTTTTGTAAGATTTGCCTAAGTGGTTGGTCATTTAGCATGCTTATAGTATGAAACTAAAAGTATAGTCTTCACTATCTAGCAGATGCTATAATTGCGTAAGCTAGTTTTTTTTTTTTGTGGTAGTTAAGTTCAACTCTTTTCAAAACTTTGTTAACAAAATAGATCGATCTCTGTTTACCCTCTTTTTCTTGAACTAGTACCGAATTAATGGCTTAATTGGTCATAGCTATGTAAAGCTACAATGGTTCATTGGGCCTAGACTTTGACAATATTAAAGGGAAGAAAAGAATTCCTTGAGCTCTTTAAAGGCTTGTTGACATATCGATGTCATTAGAAGTTTGAGATATTTTTAAATATTTTGAGAAATAGTAAGCACCAATCTATCGACCTAGACATGAACCTACTAAGGTTTGTTATTCTCTTTGTCAACCTTTACACCTATTTTACTAAAGTTGGTGTCTTCGTATCTCGTATAACTCAAATTTTCTCTCAATTGGCCTTTATATCCTTCTCATTTATCATGTGCCCTAAAAACTTACCCAAGATAACTCCACAAACACATTTGCTTGAATTGAGCTTTATACTGTACTTCCCCAAAGTATTGAACATTTCTCCAAGTTTTTTAGGTGTCCACCCTAGCTCTTACTTTTAACTATCATATCGTCTATGTATATCTCCATTTTTTGGCCAATCTAGTCACTAAATATTTTATTAATCAATCTTTGGTAGGTCACTTCTAAGTTTTTCATTCCAAACAACATCACTTTGTACCAGTACAATCCATTATCAGTCACAAAAGCTATATTTTTTTTATATTCTTTCAGCATTTTTATATAATTTTTGAAGTATACATCCATAAAACTAAGGAGGTTGTGCTCAAGCTTTCATCAACTAGGTAATCTATGCTCAGTAGATAAAAGCTATCATTTAGGCATCCTTATTCAAGTTAGTAAAGTCAATACACATTCTTCACTTTCCATTATGTTTTTTTCACCATTGCTACTATCAATTTAGGATAATAAGCTTCTTTGATGAATCCAGCATTTAGTGTTGACCTCTTCTTTTATTTTTTTACCTTTTAAAGGGCAAAACTTTTTTTTTATCAAACTGACTTCATATTCAGATCGGTGTTCAATTTGTGTCATTATTGATAGCTCTATAGTAATCTAGGCATGTTTGATCGGGTCCAAACAAAGAGATAGACATTATTTTTAAGCAATAGTAATAATTCTTTTTTTTGGGTTGAGCTTAGCTCCAATTTGCATACATTTTTTTTAATTGTTTTCATAAAATGGCACTAGTATGGATCTTTCATCAATTCAAGTTTGGTAAAAATAGTTTTGGGCCTTTGTTTAATCAATGATTTTTTTTTGTTTGCTCAGGTTAGGATTGGTTCCTATGAAAAAGACAATTCTTGATATGAATTTGCTTATTAGTTTGCTTATTCAAATGGTATAAATAGATTCATTAAAATGCTAAGCTTAAGCTCTACTAAAAAAAATTTTTTTTTTAATTCAAAGTATAATGTTCACGATATCAGCTTAGTTCTAGCTTAAGAGATTGATTTCAAAACATTTTTTTTACAATATTTTCAAGCTTAAAAGTTTGCTTTCAGCCTTAGCTCTTAAAAAGCTAGTTTCAGTTATTCTTCTATTCTTAGTCGGTTGCAATCCTCTTACCATCTAATTGACTTCCTTCTATCATAATTCTAACTTTCATTTGTTCCTTGCCTTGCATTTTCTTGACACTTGCTAAGCTAGAAATTTGTTTCCCATTCTTTCCCCTTATGGTAGTAACTTAACATTGTCTTGTTGTAGATTGGTCTTCTCGAACCTCTCTTATCCCATTAAAAATAGGAAATTTAATTTCAAGCTAGAAAGTTAACCCCATAACTCTCATGATTAACTGACTTGACCTTCCTCGACTTAATTCCCAAGGTGATTGATAGCTTAATAGTACTTTTTACGAGCAAAATGTTCCATCTCAAAATTGATTAAGATGGTGGTGAATAGCGATTCCTGTTTTCACCATGGTGGAATAGTATAAGACATTGGTCAAACACCCATTATTAAAAAAAAAATCCTTTTCACCACATGATTGTATAGTACAACTTGTATGACAATGGCCTCATTATGGAGAAAATGGATTCCTTCCAAATCTTCCAAGTTAAATGAGATTAAATCATCGTTTGAATTTGTTTTGTTTATTGGTTATGGAACCAATAGCTATTATAATTTCCAAATTAAACATCTTTTTAGCTTATGCCAAAATCCCACCAATTATCACATTAATGGTTCCCATAATAAGTTGATTATCCATATCATTCCTTTGATCATTTCTCGATATTGCCTTAATCATCGCCACCTCTTTTGTCTTTTCAATTGCCTATTGGTTGCTCGTTTCTATCTTTTATCCCAAAATTGCCTTTATTCTGTCCCTATAATTTGGTATCCATAAACCTATTCAGTCGACCCTTTCTAATTTTGTTCTTTATCTCATTCATTAAATCAATACAATCTTCAATATTATGACCGTGATTTCTATGAAAAGTATATCTCTTGGTCAGATCTCTTGTGCTATTTTGTCTCAGTGGCTTAGGCCACCTGAGTTGAAAGTCTATGTCTATTTGCATCAGAATCTTCTTTCAAGAGGTATTCATTGTAATAGAGTTATCATATCTTCTATTCAAGCTCCTTGCGCTTGGGTACCCTTTAATAGATTTTTTCCCTTTTGAGAGATTGTCATTCTCTCTACCTTTTTTTGTCTAAAGTGGGGAATATCCTTCTCTCACTCAATTGCTTTTCGTTATAACTTTAGCATTAATGTATTTTTTTTTATTATCAAAAACAGGTCAACCAATATTTTAGGGAGTTTATAGAGAAATAAGTTTAAAAATATATTCCTTGTTATGGAACCCGTTTGCCAAGGTAGTCGCACTAGCAGTTTATTCTAAGTCCTTGGCTTAAAGAGTTTTAGCATTAAAACACATTACATATTATTTTAGTTATTCTCTATGTCATTGGTAAATGGACATCAGACTTAGAATAGTCTTCTTTATTTGGTGGCTATTGACAAAATGGGTAAAAAATAAGTGGTCGAGTTGTTTGAAGGTTGAAATTGACCTTGATTCTAGACTCATGTACTATGATCGAGTTGTTCCTTTGAGTTTAGTGGTGAAACCTTTACACATCAATGACTTATCGGCATCTTAGATCAGCATATTAGTCCTAAAAAGTTTAAGATTATCAAAGGGATCAATTATGCCAGCATAAGTTTCAATGGTTAGCATTTTGAATCCCTTAAGACGTAGAGCTTGATCAATGTCTTTAGTGAAAGAAAAAGTTTCTAAGAACTTGAGTTCATTATCAAAAGTTGAGATTTTGTTCGTGAGTTCTTTCTCTATAGCTTCCATCCAAACTTCCATATCTCTGTTGGTTTACAGTTTCAAAGTGGCTTATTTGGATTTCAAGGTGGGTTTTGTTCTAGTATTAGTTGGGTAATAGCTTTTCAGAGTTTCTTCTGAGGTTGATGAGCCGACCTCAACATCATTGCAGGCCAACTCCATTTTAGTTTTTGGGTTCCTTTGAGCAGTTGCTATTGGTTCCTTAGAGGTTTGAAAAGGTGAAAGATTTTGGATAAGCTTCTTGAGGAATTGGAGCTATTAGGTTAGAGCTTCAAATTGCTCCAAGCTTGGTGCAATCTAGATAGGTTGATTTGAGCTAGGATGGCTAAGCTAGGAATTAATTTTAGTTGCAACAATATTATCTCCCTCTTCTATGGCTCTCTTCTAAGGCAACATATTAAGCTCAGCTTAATGGAAAATTTCCCATGCCTAACACGTCAAAATGTTGGTGCCGAGCTGGCTTAAGAAGGCAAAGACTTGAAATCACAAGATCGAAGGTCAATTAGAACTAAAGGCCAAATGTATTTTGATACTTGTGCTTCGATACTCAAGTCAATGCTTGAAAAAGAGAGAAAAAAAAAGAAACTTAGAAGGAAAAGGTGGTGAATTGCTTTCCCATGCTTGGAATGAGATGAGGTTCTTATACTCGAAAGGAAGTTTCTAGATCTACGTGACCCGAGCTTTGAAAGTCGAGTCTAAAGCTGACAGGATTGACTCGATCTAACATGTCAGAGGGAAATATAATTGAGAGATGATAAGTCAGTTTATCCACATACGTTCAGATGGTCTTACAAAACAGACTGAGCTTACATGGATTTCGATAGTTCAAGTTTGACTAACACATCAACTCAATCTAAATGTTCAAAATGCCTCCTGTTAAAAAATAGTCACTCTCATGCTACAAAATACTATTTTACCCTTTTAACCATTGAATACCCCTACCAAAAATGTTCTAGCATCATGACTAACATTATTAATTGCAATATCATGCTTATCCATTAAAGAATAATCATTCTCGTATAAATTATCATTATGAATTTTGAAAATATTCTGCTACTATTATGGTACCATTGATTATGATTGGTTTACTTTGATCGTTATTGATTGTCACGTCAGCAATACTTTAAATCACAATTTTAGCAAATTTAACATATGACAAGTCAATCAGACGTGTCTTTAGCATGAGACATAAAAGGTAGTATCGGACTAAACAGGAGCCATATTCTCAACTTCCCTCAATCCTTTCATGTTCCCTCTTTCTCCCACTCTTTTTTCCTACCTTTTTCTTATATTTGGCTGACCTGAGATTCAAAAAGCGCCTTGGTGTACTACTTCTGGCTCCCCTGACTTTTCTCTTTGTCGCAAGCCACGTCAGCTGCCCAGCTAAGCTTCCAACAAACTCCTTATAAGTCACCAACCGGAAAGTTATATCAACAACTATAAAAGAAGTTGAAGTGGGAGCAGCCTAAAATAATTATTCTATTCATTCAAAGAGTAATTATATGATAGTACTATTGATCAAAACTCATTAAGTGCCTAATGTATATCACCTACAACATAAAATGTCGAAACAAAGATTTGAAAGAAGAAAACTCGTGCAACTAATAGTAATTGATACTAATGGAAAAGATGGGAATACTATTGTTGACGAAGAGAAGAGAGGACAACGTCTTGAAGTGAACTGTCTCTTTGCATGGCAGCCTTGAATTCATCGAATGTAACCTTTCCATCACTGTTTGCATCCATCCGATCAAATATTTCATCTAATTTTCCAGGTTCGGTGATATCCGGTGGAAGACAGTCATCGGGCAAAGCCTGATGATCATTGAAACCATTAATGTTATTTTATATTCAATGCAAATATTGTAAAACAATGCTAGCATTTTTTTTTTTTTAAGGAGAGGGAATTAATTGAGTTTACTCTAAGCATTGATGCTAGTTCTTCTTTGGTAATGCAACCAGATCGATCTGTGTCATACATCTGTTAGCCAAGCAAGCAGAAGGTTGGTGATGAGAAACAGAAGAGCAAAACATCTTAATGCTGTCAACCAGTTGAAAGAATAACGAAAAAATTAATTAAGAAAAGTGGACCTCGAAGCACAAGTGGAGAGCATCATCTCCTTTTGAATTTCTGAGGGTGGAAAATCCACAAACAATTTCCCTCATGTCCACAGTTCCATCACGATTGCTGTCGAATAGGTCAAAGATACGGGTAGCCAATGGGAGTAGTGATGACATTTTCATTGCTTTTAGCACCTCTTCAAATTCAGCTAAAGTAGCATTGTCACCTTTAGCACATCTGCATGTTACCATGAGAATTAATGTTATATATATTCCCTACATAAATTTTAATCAAAGGATTTAATGTAAATTTGATCCTACAAAGTTTCCAATCAATATAAAAACAAGGAAAACAAAGTTAAGTATTCCTGCCAATTGCAAACAATTTATGATAACAAAAATAGACAATTAATTAGAATTAATAAAATTTATTTTAATCCGATCTTATCTAATTAAATTTAATTAAAAAAATTAAAAATCTAAACTTGTTCAATTTGAATTGAAATAACTTTAGTCTGAATTAATAGGAATCTGAAATTATCCGAATCTTAAGAGACCTGAAAGATTAATATATCATAATCGGATTTTAAATTAAATTGATTTTATTTTCAAACTCAATAATTTTAAAACTTCAGTGTTAAATCAAAAAATTCAAACCGATGATTTAAATTTAAAATGAACCAAACTCGAAATGACCCAAGTGATTAAACCCAAACTGAATCTACCCACCCCCAATTGCCACCTCTACAACTAAGAGAACCGAAAAACCTGTTTATGTGCCATATATAGTAACTTCATATTGGAGAAAAGTTGAAAAAAAGTTGGGTTTGAATACTCACATTTTCTTAAAATTTGTCTTAAGGTTGTCAATTTCCTCCTTTGTAAGGTCATGGGAACCAAGCAAAGTCCTCAACTTCTTTGTCCTCAGTAAAACCTTGCTGCTCAACACACTAGCTATTGCTGCAGCACGTAGTTTACGGCGTGCATTAAAACTTTGAAGTCTTGAAACAACCTCAGCATCTATTTGTTCCTGTTTGGCTGAATCCCCAATCACCCATGGATGAGCCAGAAGCTGTTTCAAGTTATATATACTCTTCTGTTAAATTAAAGTTAAAAAAAAAAAATCAATGAATTACAAATTGTTGTTTTCAGAGATCATATATAAATATATATACTTGTTCAGCACTTGGTCTTCTGTCAGGGTCAACTTGCAACAGATTAGAAATCAAATGCTTTGCTGATGAGGAAATGTTTTTCCAAGTCCTCTCATCGAAATTATATTCTCCCTGTGAAGAGATCCATATTTCTTTTTCATGTAATCAAGTGAAAAAACTGAATAATAATGTGTATTAAAAAGGAATGAAAATAATTGACATACAGCCATTATCATCTGTTGTTTTTGCCTATTTGATTGAGCAAAAAATGGTGGATACCTACAACATAAAACAAGGAGATGGAACGACAATTTGAGAGTGAATACATAAAGTCAAATATATATATGATAAATATGTTAGCATGGCAATGGCAGAGATATGAGTTCATAGCAATATGAAAAATCATGAAGGCTGTCCAGGAAACCAGAGATATATATGAGCTTATAGCAATATGAAAATTTTAAAAATTTTAAAATATCTAACTTGAACATAATGATTCTTCATAAACTATCAATTTAAACACAACACGATAATATATATAAAAATGATACAAAAATACATGAAAAAAATACAATTTAAAACTTTAACAAAAATTATATATGAATTTGACAAAACCCAAAAAATATATTTTTTTATTTGATCTGTTAATAAGAATTATGTCATGACAATTTACCACGTATTAAACATTAACATATAAATCTAATTACTCATTAGTAACTATTTTCTAACTATCCTTGTGTCACACTGGGATAAATGTAAATATATATAGAGAGTAAAAAATTGATAATTAAACTATAGCAGGTCAAAATTCTTTGAGAAATATGGAAAAAATGGGGACATACCCGGAGAGTAAGATATATAAGATGACTCCCAAAGACCACATATCAGCCTTGGAAGTGATTTTGCCTTGAGAAAGAGCTTCTGGTGACACATAATCTATAGAACCAAATAACCCAACAACTGGATCAGTAAACTCTTCCACTGAACTCAATCCGAAGTCCATGATCTTCAATGTCGAATCCTCACTTTTGTTTAAGAAAAGGCAATTCTCAGGCTTCAGATCCCTATGGACAATGTTGGCCTTGTGAAGTGCTGCTAATCCTTGTGCAATCTGTCTAACCACAGCTGCAGCTCCAGCCTCTGAGTACCTTTCTTGAGCCACAATCCGATCAAACAACTCCCCTCCTGAACATAGTTCTAAGACCAAGTGAACCCCACTTTGATCCTCATAGACATCGTAGAGATCAATCACATTTGGATGGGGTGAAACATTTTCCACAATCTTTCTCATAACCAAAATCTCATTTGTCAACAAAGCATCCGAGATTGAAATCTGATTCCATTTTGAAAATTCCATCGAAGCTATGGTTTTCCCAGTACCAACTCGAGGTGGACGTGGGAAATTTCCTGATGGGGTTGAAGCTGAAGCACCACTGCCAAACCTTTTTAGTGTTTTGACGGCAACTTGATGACTACTTTTCTCATCTCCATTTGTTTTCTTGATTCCCCTCCTCACAACTGAGAATCCTCCTCTTCCTAGGATGTCCAAGATTTCATATTCCTCACATAATTTTCCCTTCTCCTGTCCCATGGGAATTCAATGAAAATGGATATTTTGGAGACTCTGAATTTGGTTGAGAGAAAAAAATGGAGTAACTTGTCTGTTCAAATAATCAAATCATCAAGGTTAAGAGGAGATTTATTAATAAAATATTAAACTCTTAATTTTAATTATCAAAATTCAAATTCTTACAATTATAAATATAAAATAAACAAAAAAAAAAATTTAAACGCGGATTGACATCAGCTTGCCGACAGTTTCTTTGTTAGTTTAAGGTATAAAATATGAAGGAAATTGATATGGAAACAAGGGAACATATTTATATGGGATAGTAGCTGAGAAAGAAGTGACAAAGGCAAAGTCAACTAACCATCTTTCAATTTTATTTTTATTCCATTTGCTGGAAGAGTTAAGTTTTTAGGTAAGAGGTTAAAATAAAAGTTAAAAGAGTGCAAATAAAATAATGAACCAAGCGACTTTGGCACCAAAGTTAGTAAGCAAGCAAGACTTGTTCTATGATGTCATATATTAAAGCATATTGACTCAGTCTAATATGCTATTAAGTGGATGAGTCTTTCCTAACCATTCTATTACCATTATTTTTATCGATAAAAATTGACTCCCGTTTAATTTCAATCTTACAATGCAATTTCCAGTCTCACCATCTTACCACTACAAATATCAATTTTATCAAAAAAAAACATTAAAATGGATTAAACCATAAAACAACTAGAAAAACATTCTTGAAACACAAAATAAATATGAATTTTAAATGATTTAATCTAAAATTTTCCTATTTTACCATTCTTTTCTGTTCAACAATTTTCAATTTTTTTTATTTTTTAATGACTCAATCCTGATTCAAACATAATCTGATTTTTATATATTTCAACAACGGACTTCGTATAACTGTTTATCTAATCAATCATTCGATCAATCTGATTCAGTTTTGACAACAATATACCTGTTGAACCATGGTTCATAACATTTGTGATTGTGACCCAAACATTACTTGATATATAAGTGATTAAAATAGAAACTTTCAAATGGGAAATTTTTTCTTATTTATATGCAAATAATTGTGTGTACTTGGTACAATTTTTTCAAGGAATTAAGTATCAAACTATGGAATAGCATTGTATTTTGTCTGATGATGAAAGATCTCTCATATAATCATGTAAAGATTATCAAAATTATACCACACATGATGATCTCGTTACCAATAGCTTCATCGCCCTATTAGCCTTATCACCCATCCCAAAGACATCGAAAATTTCTACCCCAATTGTCAATCTACTTTTATCACTTCAACTCAGCCCCAACCAAAAGCAACATTACTTAGCGAAAAAGGAGAAACCAACTTTGTCCAAACCTTCTAACTCCCAAAAATGTATGATGCAAACAAATGGCAAGATTTGTTGTCCCATATCAAGGGGCTGCAAATACCTTGAGCTTTCACGGAAGCATTTCACCTATAATTCTTTTTGTCATAATCCTACAATTACCCGATCACAATAAAGTATTATGTAAGAATCTACCACTTATAAGTGTAGACTCCATATAAAATTTCAATAAACCCAACATAATTTTGAATTATGATTGATTAATTGTAATATAAAGATTGTAGGTGACACTCTCAGCTTTCACAGCTAACCCAAATGAAGAAGATATCAACCACCTAAATAGACAACATCATCATCCAAACTATATAGCAGTCAGACTCTTAATTATCACATGATCTAACCAGTAAAGGAGGGAAACGAAACTTAAGATCAGATTGTAATTTGATGCACCCACACTTTCTGCCAACCCGAGCAGCTGCACTAGAGCACGGTGTTACTCTTGGCACAAAAAAATAATTTATCCAGGCAACAATTGAATGGTTAAAGTAAAGCTGCACATCATGGAATCAATTTGTAAAGACAAGTTCATAGCACTTTTGCACTTTTAGCACTATACATTCATGAACTTCATGCATGATAGTGAAAAGTTTATGCACGTGCCTGGACTTCAATGTTTATAAGATGTTCTGTCACGAACTCTACGAGACCCTGCATCGCTGGCTGAGGTATCAGACTTTACCCTTCGATAAAACAGAACGTAGGCAGCAGCTGACTTTACATCTTCTTCATTTATAGGTGATATATGACTGTCATCAAAGTTGTACCACCTATTCTCATCTAGAAGCTGCAAACAGAAAAATCAGCATAAAACGGGATGAGATAAATATCTTATGCATCAACAATAACAGAAACCTATTTGCGGAACAATCATTGTCGCAATATAAAACTAAGCTCTAATTAAGAGGATTAAAGGTCAATATGCCATAAACTTTTAAAATGACCCAAATATGATGGAAGTCAAACCCCAGGAAGAAAGAGCAGAAAATGGTTTCAATTGAAATTCAATATAAAAATTGAAACAGATGTAGCATCCATTTCCAAGCCCCTGCCCAACCCTGCCCCCCCCCCCCCCCCCCCCTCCAAAAAAAAAAAGAAAAATAAATAATACACAGAACTTTGTCAGCATGAACCAATTTATTCCATTTCAGTGAGGATACAGCTGCTTTTAACTTACCTTGATGTGTGCAGTATAGTGGCCACTGCCCATGCCACCATAATGGTTGGTTAAGGCATACAGTTCATAGAGCTGAGAACGGGAACTTCTCTTGTCAGCTACATAATTTGTTAAGTCAAAGTCATGAATAGGAAAGTTGACAAAAGTTTCTAGTTTATGCTTCATTGACCGGATGTATGAGAATCTTTTTAGATGAATGACTAGAACTTCTGGAAGCCTCCACAGATCAAGCTTTTTACTTGCTTGCCGTTGTTCCTTACATTGTGGGCAGTACCTACATCAAATAAACACTGATAATTCAAAATACTGCAGGAATAGAACCCCATTTTTTTCCAACAAGTTAAGCACTGAAGATTGTTAAAACTGTCGAGCAAACAATAAGTATTTGCTTGATTCACATGCACAATTCATAATGATGTCCAAATTATGGTGTAACGGTTACCAAATAGAAACTATGAATCCATTAACTGGAAAATGTTCCCAAGCTTACAGAGTTAAGTACAAGATATTACAATATACAAAATATAACATAAAAAAATGAAAGAAATCTTCTCCCTAATATGTCTATGATAATTTCATATGCAAAATTCACATAGGGCTTCCAATTAACTTACAGAGCTTGCAACAGACTCCTATGTTAATTGAAACAAGAAAATAATCATTTTCTGGCCACATTTCAATAGGGTACTTGTTAAAGGTAACCTTCACAACGCTTAAAATAGCTTCAATGTAGCACTGATAGTCTTGAAAAAAGAGACTGGGGATAGAGAAAGCATTCTGTTATTTTCTAATTTAAACTAATTGGTAAAGAGTAAACCAATGGTAGCCATTCTTTATCTTAGGCAGGAATACTACCTATCAAGGGATCATGAAAAAGCATTTGTGCTAAGAGGCATTTATGAATGGAAATACACAAAAGCACGTGCACACACAAAGTGAGAGACACACTAACCACATATCTTCTGGCACCAATGGCTCCTCTCGTAAAAAAGCCTCCAAGCAGGTATACAAAGAGAGAGGTTCAGTACGAGCTTTCTTGGTAATAGGCCCATATTTAAATACTTCAGGCAAGTTCTCCAGGTAATTCTCATTGTACTTCTCCAAAAGCCTTGATGTCCAATCAAGATACAGTATTATAGGCGATGCTGCTGGCAGATTAACAGCTTTATCGTCTCCAACGGACAGGTCAATGCATGTCTTACCTTCATCAAACAACTGAAGTGGTAGTCTTGGCAAGACATTACTTATAGAAGATGACGCACGGTTAGTATCCACTTCACCAGAACTATGATCAGATGGATCTGTTGCCACCCCTGAGGTGCTTGGATCCGAATTATCATGATATTTTATACGCTCTTTCAGCAACGGAGAAAGCATGGTCTGAACAATTGTCTGTATATCACCATTTGTAATTACATCGTCACATGAAAGTGATGATGCAAGAGGAGTTCCAAAAGGTTTCCATCTTTGAGCATCACTAGTTTCCCTAGAAAACAATAAAATGCGGTATCGCATTAGAAACATCTCAATAAAAGCAACTATTTAAGCTGCTAAGCAAGAATATGAATGCAGCAACACCAATTATCATCTTCTAATTGGTCTAGAATTAATAATTAGTTCAAAGAAAAAATAATAAATATGGAAAATTATGGTGTGTGGGTGTGTGTGTGTGTGTGTGCAAGAGAGAGAGAGAGAGGGATTAAACACTTTCGAAATAACAAAGGTAATTTAGTAAGCTCTATAAAACTATTTATAGAGGAAGAACAAACTACAATCTACAAGCATAATAACATTGAAATCAACCACGTCAGATGCTAATTGAACAGTGAAACAACTACAAAAACTTCAAGTCAGAATTCAATTGGCAGCCAAGTAAAAACTTTTGGTGCCATGCTTACATTCACATGTTGCTATCTAAAAGATTAGTATAAGGTCTGGCAAATAGTACATACTGTTCTTGTCGGCGATGTATCAACTGAAGCAAAACATTGCCCTTTGCTGACTTTTGAATCTTGTATGCAGCAAGATGATCATCATCTTTGATTGTGGACAGTGATAAAAATGAATCATCTAAGAACCTATGAATCAAATGATTTCGTATCTGCAAGCGATAACTTCAAACAGCTTAGCGCAATTTTACCACAATTGTACAATTCCATTAACAGGAAATCAGAATGTTTAACAGCACATGCCTCAACAAGCTTAATTTCCTCGGTCTGCTTCAAGGAACAAGCATTGCTAAGTGCTTGGATCAGGTCCCTGTAACGTCCCTGCTTCGGAACAGTCACAGTATATGTTGATGGTAGAGCACTTCCATCAGAAGTAAAAACTGTTATTGTCATTGTCCGCGTGGTGGTGAATTGGAGTGGCAAAGACAGGTACATGAAGGGGTCAAATGTTACAGAAACTTTATTGCACACTGGACAAACCAATGTTGATTTATATTGACCCTACACAACGGGGTGGTAGACATGGATTAGATGCACAGCAATAACAATAACAATGAATACTGCATAACATTATATGCAACTTAAAGCTTAATCTTTTTACAGATGATAATCATAGGATTATTATAGAAAATAATAAGTTGAATTAGAAATGAATTAGCATAGCTTTTATCTTATTCTCCTATTCTTGAAAAATATTAATGTAAAATACTAGAGTAATGAAAATCAGCAACACAGCAATAACAGATGGAACCACAATTTTGTTTAAGATTGATTAAAAGTCCCTCTATCAAAAATGAAATAGAAAACCCCAGAGATTGTTTAAAAGAAATGTTTGCATCCACAAATTTTAAAAATTGTAGTCTTAATCTATTACAGTCTTTATTGGACCATAAGCACTAGGTGTCTATGTATCAATGTAGTATTTCTATTCGAGATAGAAGTACAGAACTTCTGATTGAGGATTTTCCAGTACCATTGCTCTTGCAAATTGTGTGAAGCATGTGAAGCAATAAAACTTTCAGTGTAAATTGTAAGGAAACATAGGCGTGCCAAGCAATCTAAAACACAACAAGGTGATAAGACTCATACATGATACAAAAAAATGACATGAAGGTGACAGCTTAAAAATTTTAGCAATAACTATATATGGGTTTAACAAAACCAAAAATTATATTTCATGTTTTCGTTTCAACACAAATATCAACATGCAATTTTCGTCTAAACTACAATATGAATGCACGAATTTCAATATTTTGCACGACACTAATACGCAAATCGCTAGAAATTTTTTTCTTTC